TAAAGTTAAGTTAGTCGTCGACGACGTCGTAGGTAAGTTAGTTATATAGTAGTACTTAGTTTGTTAGTAAATAGTAGTAATATTATTTTGTGTATAGTACTCTCTCTCTCTCTATATATATATATATATATATATATATATATATATATATAATGCATACCCATGGGCAAATATATGCCTAGACTGAGACACAACCCCCATTAAGCATGTATAAAATTTTACCAGTAGAAAAGCAGCCTTTTCAAATAAAATATATACGTCTAAAACATTGCTTTAAATAAACCTTTGTGTCTTATAAAGTAATTATTCTACAAATGTGTGTAATAAAATTTAATATTATGTATTGATTTATTTTTACTCCTTCACTTCATACATAATATAGGGGTTGGCTCCCTACAGACACCAATTGTATAGTGTAGAAAGCATTGAGTATCTACATGTTAAAGTCATCTAATATTCATCTATTATTGGCTGGTAATTCCTGTTTCATTCTGTACTTAAACTTTTTGAAGGAACACCAGAGTTCTGTAAAAAAAGCTAATTTCAAGGGGTAATGATAACATTGTTTACACTAAAATTATGATTTTTTTAAAATTACCACTAGTTATTATGACTAAGCGATGACATTGTGCACTACCCAGAAACACATAGAGTGGATTTAGATTTAAACTGATGTTAGTGATAAAGTAGTTGTAGAATTATCTCAAACAACAAGAAAGATGAACAATCTGGTGGATTGGTCACTTTCTGGTTTGGCATTGTAACGATGGTTTCATGCCTTGTTTTGAGGCTTGTTGGGTAGAGAAACAAATAAAAATGAATGGCAATCATCTTTTAAAGTAAAGCTCTGTCATTGTTGCTTTTTCTAGTATGCAAATTTGTATTATGCCTGTTGATTATCTTGTCTCTTCCTTTGTATAGTATACCAACTCTGATACATGGTTAATGCTTCAAAATGAGTATTTATTCTTTTTTGACTTCTTTCAAATAGTTCAACATTTTGGTTTTAAACTTTTTAAGTATTTTTGATTCCTTCATTAAAATTACATTTTTGTGAAGATGTCACTGAAAAGAAAAGTTTTTGTTATTATTGTATATAGAACCTACCAACTACAGTGTTTTTATATTCACATTAACAGTGCTGCTTTTTTATAAATGTTTTCTAGAATTACCTGAGGAACCAGAACAATAAGAACAACTATAACCTGGTGTCTGAAACACTTATGTTCTTAGATTGTATGTGTGGGAGTACCACTGGTGGGCTGGGTTTACTGGGGCTTTATATCAATGAACATAATGTCAGCTTAGTTAATCAGACTCTGGAGACATTAACTGAATACTGTCAAGGTCCTTGCCATGAAAACCAGGTGAGAAGTGTGTAATTTTAATGTAACTTCTTATAAAAAGCTGAATTTCAATGTGTATCTTTCCTTGTGTTTCAGTAACCCTATGGCTTACTTTTACCACTCATATTACATTGTGCTATCACGTTCAACATTGTAAGTAAAATCTTTGTTCATTTCACAAAAATATTTGTGTTTGAAACATAGTTTGTGGGTTGTATTAGTTCAGTAATAGTTATAAAGTAACTTGCATATAGGTAATATAGGTAGAGTAATTAGAGGATGAATTTCAAGATTCCACCGTTAACATCACTTGGATGTATTACTCAATATTCAAATACTGGTTCATGTAAATTCATTGGAAGGAATTCATCCAGGATGTGATAAGCTGCTTACAAAAGCTTTTTCTGGCTAAGTGGTAAATATTTGTTTGGAGGACATCCTGTATATCAGCAGATTTGTTGCAGTATTAAATTGCTTATTATGTTGTTTTGTCAGAGTTAAACTCGAGGGTAGGTGTGGGTAGAAATGTTCCCTCTAATTTTTTCAATCTATGTGCGGAATGAATTTTTTCATGTGTACCAGTATTGAGACAATGTGCAGATGTGTGCTATCAGTTTTTTGCTGTTGTTTTTTTTTTGGGGGGGGGGGTATTTTTAGATCATCGACCCTATTGGATCGTTAGGCCAGTTTGCAATGCTACCAGTTGGCAATTTGGGATTTAGGCCTATTGACTACCAGGGTCATTAAGGTTGTCAACATGTTGAGACTCCTCACAATTACTGAGGATGTGTGTGGCTGGAATAATTAAGTGTGTGGCATTTGATTTGTTGTTGTGTGGCCACACAGCTTAGATGGAACATTGGTAGGTGGATACTGTCCACCCACTATTTTTGGGAAATACAATTTCTCATGCTCTTGTTTGCACTGTTATTTACTTGAATGGTAATTTTTAAAAGTTTTAATTTTACTATTTTCTCGACACCTTGGATATTTATCTACAGTTCACTTACTGTTTTCTATAAAGTCTAACTCGGGTGTTTGAACAATGATAGTGTGCCCATAACAGTACACCAGCATTATCCTAAGGCCTGTTTTCTTCTTTGTTGTCAATGTATTGATTACATGCTTGAGAACTGAACTGTACTATATTCAAGTAGGGTTACAAGAGTCATAATATTTTATAATAAGCAAAACTTGCCAAAAGAAATAAAAAGCCTTATAAATGCTAATAATACAATTAAAAAAACACAGAAATTTAGAAAGAAGACTGTATAAGGGAGAAAGGGGTTAGAAATAAAAACATTTGAATATATTCGAGCCTGATGATTCTGCATTATTAGTTCAAAGTCTGGTAATGTTATTGAAGTTGTAAGAAATACATTACTTAAAACATTAATGATCAGTACATGGACATGACAGCTAAATGTTTTGTCAGAGAATGTAGCCAATGTTCACTGTTCTTCAAAAGGTACAGAGTTTAGAAATATTTACTAGACGACTGTGCTCTTACTACTGAAAAAGCCACTTTCCATAACGTGTATGTACATCACTTACCAATTACTTTCTTTGTTTTTCTTAAGTGTGTCAAATGTTTCATTTTATTCCTTTTTTTATTGCTAAGAGGGATTTTTTAAGAAAAAGATAACCATTAATGTATAATTAAAGCACTAGATCATAGATGTTTTAAACTTTAACATAGAAAATTCATAACCATTGTGTATAATGATGGGTATGGATATTTCTGACACAAAACTGAACAAGCTTTATTTTTAAGTCTTTCCAAGAAAATAACTACAGTTGTCTGGAATTGTTACATCTCTCATCAGCATAAAACTATGTAGCATATATCTAGATTTTTTTTTTCCCCCCAGAACTGCATAGCTATGCATGAGAGCAATGGAATTGACATCATCATAGCTTTGATCTTAAATGACATTAACCCACTTGGAAAGAAAAGGATGGACCTGGTGTTGGAGTTAAAGGTTTGTATTTAAATTTTACTAGAAAAAAGAAGTATTACTTATTGTGAAGTAAAGTTTAATATTTCAACACATTTTTTAATTGATTTGATTCTTATGTTCAAAGGTTATATTTAAAGGAAGATATTTTGAAGTAATGTGTGACATGTGCAAAAATTGTGAAGAATGTTTTGATGTCTATTCTCAGAGAAATATATAGTATCATTATAAATGATGAGTACATGGCTATATATGTGTTTTGATGCTTACTATCATTTCATAGAATAATGGAAATATTTGGATAGGCTTGAAGTACTTTTATGAGAAAATGTTAAACGTGTAAATTACAAAGTGAACATTATTTGAGAATCTGAGTTACAGTAGCAGCATAACTGCTTGTCATTCAGAACCTTTTGCAGTTTATTCAAGTTCTAGGTAGTGTGAAAATAAGATGTTTGGACTATATTAACCAATTTAAATAAGGCTTGAATACTGATTTGATTTGGACTTAAGTGTAACTTAGTATTGTGTCATCTGAAACAGGTTTATCCCTGAGTAGTAGGTTAAGATTACATTTATAACATAAATTTTCCACTGAAATATGTAATGGGTACAATTATCAGCACAAAAGGAAATATTGAAATGTTTTCCCAGGGTTGTTGTTCTGTATTTCACCTTTAATTGAGTGTTGTTTCTGAAATTGTTGAATGCACAAGATTCGTTTTAGTAGAACTCATAATTTTTTTATATATAGAATAATGCATCAAAGCTACTATTGGCTATAATGGAAAGTCGGGCAGACAGTGAGAATGCAGAAAGAATCCTATTTAACATGAGTCCAAAACAGCTGGTAAGAAAAATATATTCACCACAATTGTTTGACATATTTCTCAGATTTCTGTTCTCTGAAGTAATGAAACATTTTTATAGAGTACTAAAGTTTACTGAAGTAAGTTTTGTCTAAATAAACATAGAGTAGTTAGTGACTTTAAGTCTTCACTTAAGTTATTGTGACATAACACAAATACAATTATCATCCAAACTAAACTGAAGTTACATTCTAAAGCTAGTTTAAAGAGGAAGAACAGATAAAGATTGTGGACCTGTTTGTCTGTTTTGAAAGAATTGAGGTACAAAATTTTAATTTTTTTTTTAAATGTGAATAGACAAAAATATGTGTTGGCTGCATTATAATTTATATTTAAAGCTGTTGTTTTTAATATCTAATATATATACCTAGAACAATGAAAAAATTAATGTAGTTCTCTGTTTGTCAAACAGTGTTTAATATGTAGTTAAAAATGAATTTAACTTAATGAATACTACTGTAAATATCAAAAAATGTTAAGCATGTTTTAATGCTTTTTCTCCAAAACCTTTCATTGTATGTGTAATGTACAACTGTTATTTAGAAAACCACATAAAAACAATATAATGTATTTTAAACAAGAGATTCGTCCATAAAAATATCTCGGGACATTTCCCACTATCAGAAAGATAAATACAAATTTTATGTCTTAATAAGACTTGTTTCTTGATGCAGACAGTTAGGAAGTTATCTCCTAGGAGGAAACACACCACTACCATTCTCTACAGGTTGATTTAACATGTAATGTCTACCATAAAACACACATCACTACCATTTTCTACAGGTTGATTTAACATGTAATGTCTGTCATAAAACACACATCACTACCATTCTCTACAGGTTGTTTTAACATGTAATGTCTGTCATAAAACACGCATCACTACCATTCTCTTCAGGATGATTTAACATGTAATGTCTGTCATAAAACACACATCACTACCATTCTCTACAGGTTGATGTAGCTTGTAATGTCTGTCATAAAACACACATCACTACCATTCTCTACAGGTTGTTTTAACATGTAATGTCTGTCATAAAACACACACATTTCTGCTTTCCTCTACAGGTTGATGTAGCTTGTAATGCCTACCACCAGGAGGATATTACTGAGGAGGAAGAAGAAGGAGAGGGTGATGATAATGATGATGATGGAGTTTCACCTAAGGAGGTGGGACATAACCTTTACATATTATGCCACCAGTTGGCCCAACACAACAAGGAACTGGCAGCCATGTTAAAACCTAGTCCTAACGATACCGAGTCAAAAAACAATCAGGCCCTTCAGTATTATGCTAGTCACACTGCTCAAATTGAGGTACATCATATGAATTTCAATTTGTTATAAATTCATATTTTATATAGCTAAGCACCTTATGTTTTTCATGATAAAAACAGCCAAGCTGTCAGTAATTAATAATATGAGATATTCACTTTAAACTTTAAGCAGCTTTTTGCAGTCTTACGCAAATTGTTAAGCCTTGTTTTTAGACATGGTTTTTTTTTTTAATTTTTGATATTCATTCTGCTTAGGCTATAAATATATGTGTGAAAAAAATTATATGCTAGTGAGATATCTTACTTAAGTTGAAGCACTTTTGGTGAACAAATGATACGTATTGTTTAGCTTTACGTGACCTACCATGATCTTATTTCTCAGATTGTTCGTCATGATCGAACCATGGAACAGATAGTTTTTCCTGTACCTCAGATTTGTGAATTTCTCACTAAAGAGAGTAAGCTGGATGTGTTCCACACGGCTGAGAGAGATGAGCAGGGCAGCAAGGTATTGGGTTATCTTTGTTCATCATTTTATATCAAATTATTTCTCTCTTGAGAAGAATACTGAAAATTTTATCATGTAGTATTTCAATAACTTCACTATTAGGAAATAATTTTAAAATATTTCTTGTGGAATATTTCAAGTACTTTATTCCTGTAGCTAAGTTATGGCTGTTATTATTTTAACATCATGGTCACTTGTATAAATGCATTCCAGGCACATAACGAATATAGACTTGCATAAAAAATACAATTATCTTGAATTTAAGAGCTATATCTTTGAATCCTAGCACAGAAATGTATACATGCAAGTCAGTTGTTATTTGTCTGCTTATTAAGTTTCTACAGAAGTACACTAATAAAATACAGAAAAAGTCATTTCTTGGTGCAGTCATAATACATCTTCCTGTATAATGCAATTTATGTTATCTATCCTTTAAGCCTTTTTTTTATTTTTGCTGATTAGTTTTTCTTAAACATTTTATTAGAAATCCTTGTTTAAAGATCATATTTTAGTGAAAACAGGAAAAGTGCAATTCAGAGTGAAGCTGCCCATTATCATAGATATTTATTTAAACACATTTATCCTTAAAACAATAAGTTTTCTGATATACAAACAGTAATATTACTTATTTATGCTTACAGGTCTCAGACTTTTTTGAAAGAAGTGAAGACTTATTTAGTGAAATGAAGTGGCAAAAAAAACTTCGGGGTGAGAAAGGCTTATACCTAATATGAAAATGATAAGATTGATATGATCACTGTTTTTATTCAGTTAGTACAGTAAAATAATCTTTCAATATTCTACATGTTTTAAGATATTGTGGAGAATCAATAGTGCAATTGGTTGGCTTTTAACAAGAAAGTAAAGGACATCACTGTATACTTCTGGTAGGGAATAAAAATATTATATAATGGTAATTTATACTCTTATGGGATTAATTATGGGGATGTTAATATTTCTACAGAGTGATATGTAGTCTAAAATGAGCATGGGGATGAAGTAAGTATTTCTACAGAGGGATATGTAGACTGACACAAGCATTATGAGGAAGTCAATATTTCTACAGAGGGATATGTAGACTGACACAAGCATTATGAGAAAGTCAATATTTCTACAGAGGGATATGTAGTCTGACACAAACATTGAGGAAGTCAATATTTATACAGAAGGATATGTAGCCTGACACAAACATTGAGGAAGTCAGTATTTATACAGAGGGATATATAGTATGACACAAACATTGAGGAAGTCAATATTTCTGTATGGGGATACGTAGTCTGACAATGCTTTATGACATGAGTCAATTTTGCTGTAAGCAAAAACATTTGAGATAGTATTACAGCAGTGTGTTATATGTAAAATAATTGCATTGTTTATTGTGCATATTGTAGTTTTACCAACCAACTCAAACCGTAGTAAAGTGTTAAATTTTTTATGGACATTCTTTCATTTAGTCAAATGCAAAAATTTCTTTAAGGATTGGTTTGTTCACATGTTTTTGTCATCACCCTTCAAAGTAAATAAGAGCTGGTGGCACTTTCTGGATTAGATATTGATATGGAGATGAAAAAATATTTATCCAACTTTTAGTAAGGTTTATTATTACCAAAATGTTTTCTCTCAGCTTATATTGTGTTTATATTGACACTGCATGTACAGAAATGTTGGAGTTTTGCTAAAATAGTAAAAAGAAATATGTCAAAGACATATTAGACGTATATTTCTATATTCTTTGATGCCAATTATAATCTAATTCTGTACATAACAGGTCAACCTCTTCTGTTTTGGGTGAGTCGGCACATGTCAATATGGAGTACTGTGGCTTTCAATTTAGCTGTCTTGATCAACCTCATTGTAGCATTTTTCTATCCCTTTTCTGATCCCAATGGTAAGTTAACTCAGAAATTTGCTTAGTCTAAAGCCACATTTAATAATGTGCAAGTTTGTTTTACTTCTTTTTAAAGTTACGAGTAATAATTGTTTGTTTTTTTGTTTCTGTCGTTTGATGTAGTTTTTCTTCCTTCATTCCCTCAAAAAGAGATATTTTATAATGCACAGAATTATTTTGATGACTCTTTAGTGTTTGACAAAACCTATAAATGATTCTAAAATTTTCAAACCTAAAAAGAAAAAGCAATATGAATGTAAAGATGAGATATTATGGGCATATCCCAAGCTAATAAAATATTTTTTTTGTCTAATGACTGGAAATAGTCATCTCATCCTTCCAAAACTAGATTAGAACATATCTTTAGCCAGATCTATTGAGGTAAATTTTTCTAAATTTTAGTACAGGTAGTCTCCATGCATTAACTGAATGTTGGAAGGCTGTAAACATATACTCAGGTAAAACATGCATATGAAACAGTTAGAAACTTGTATCACTTTGAACGTGTGTCTGACCTCTCTACCCTTCCTCTCTGGATATTTGTACAAAGTTGTATGAGTTAGGGTTTTTTTATCTGCTATATATGTTACTTGGAATATTCAGTGATGTATAAAGTGTTGGTTTCTGGTATACTACACTTGTTCAGTGTGAATTTCAGCATTACACTTGAATCATATTTGTCTGGTGTGGGTATTTTAAAGATGCTCCTTTTATTCTCATCAGCCAGTTCAAGTCACCACAAAATTAGGGGCTAGCCAGTATGTGTAATACCGACTAAACATTTTTTGCTTTGAATAAAGGTTTATTTATTCATTTATGCTTGTTTATTTCCTTTGCCGTACATATTCAGTTTGTTTTCTGCATAGAATTTCTGGAATCTACATTTTATTGTTACTTTTGAACTTGTGTGTCTGATATTAATTGACCTGAAAACTGCAATTAGAAAGGTTGATGATATAAAGTGTTTCCAAGAGAGCTAGTACAATGTTTTTTATTGGAATTGGCTATAGATTATAATAGTGGAGAATAAAGACTCATTACAATTAACCTGCCATTCTACTATTATTTTAATCTTTACAACTCGAAATTAAAGAAAAGTATACTAAATTAGCTATACTGATTGCCAGGTTGATTTTCAGTGTCACTGTAAAATATATAGCTTACTCTGATTGGAAGTTAATCTACAAACAGAAATGACAATGGCTTTATCTGTTGAAAATTCTTTTTTGTACATAATTGTAGTATGGTGAAGAATCACATCAGCATAAACAGAAGGTATCACTATGTTACATGTTCAAAAGTTCCCCAAATTTAGGACTCATTATGAAGCTGTATGTGTATACACCTGTGTTTGTGTCAGTCCCCTTATTTAATGTAATTTGTAATTCACTCTGCATTTGAACCATTATTCTTATTAACTTGGTTCATTTTCCCAGCTTTTTTATTATGTATAATGGGCTGTAACATAAAAGTAAGGAATGTACGACAGATATTCTCGTATTAAAAATAAAATGTAAAACTGTAAGATGCAAAACTAAAATCGTATATTTTAAAACTTAAGTTGTGTAAACATCTGTAATTCTTCCTACTATTTTAATTTTGCTTTTTATTTTTCAACATTACCAAAGCTCAAAGTAACATATGCCTTTATGTATTTATTATCATCTCAAGAACTTGGGCCACGAGCTTCTGGACTCATCTGGGCAGCTATGTTCATCTCTCTAGCTACAGTGGTCACTTTACCTCGCCCATCAGGCATTCGTACTTTTGTTGGAGCTGTCATCCTTCGTATGATCTACTCTCTAGGCTTACAACCAACTTTGTGGTTGCTGGGCACGGTCAATGTAAGTGTCCTAATTATGATATTTAAAATTTTTACCCTCCACAAGTTGTTTTGTCTTTTTTTTACTCACATAATGCATCTTGTGTTACCACCCTTCACAACATGTCTTGTTTTTTACTCATATAATGCATCTTGTATTGCCACCCTCCACAAGTTTTGTTTTTTACTCACATAATGCATCTTGTGTTACCACCCTTCACAACATGTCT